CGAACAAAGAGTTGGCGAAACAGATGTTTGAACACAACTCCATTAAAAGAGAACAAATCGATTCGATCGCTAAGACTAATGGTTCCGATTCGGTGACACTCTATCGCGTCAAAGACCACATCGACATAAGTGGCGGTCCAATGATTGCCAACACATCACAGGTTGGCTCCATTCACGTGACGGCAATCCATCCGATGGCCACTCGTTTGGGAACAGTCTATCGATTTCAAGGCATTTCAGTACCGAAACAATTGAATATCAATTCCTATACGCTGTCTATTCTTCGAGAAAGAGCTCAAAAACTCAATTCATTGCAATTCATGGATCAATTCAATCAACAAATTCACACACAATTGGATCAGAAGTCAGAAATTGAATCAAATTTGAATAAAAACATTAATTAAGTTAATGTTTAAAAATAGATGTGTTTTTGTAAATATTTTATTATTAATAATCAATAAATAGATATTAAATAGAGAAACAATGATTTGCATTATTATTACGGCAGTCAAATAGTTTATAAAATATACAGTTTTATAAAGTAAGTATGCCTTCTGGTGATTGGCCAATGTTTGTGTGAATTACCAGTTGATGAATCCATTAACTACTATAACATGTAATTTACTGTAATATCATATTACTGTTACTAATATGACTTGAAATATGCTAAATATTGATATGCTATCACTTTTTCTGGTCATTTGCACTCTTTGTTCACTAAAATATATTTAATTACTAATTGTTACCAATGGTTATGGAAATAATTATTAATAGTTATTTATTTTTTAACTTAATTTTTAACTTAAGATCATCTAAAATAAGTTTTAAGTTAAAAGTCATAACTTTTAAATTGATTTAAATATAAGGGTTGAGAAAGTAGTCAATAGAGGGAACCATTGGATCACTTGAGCTCTCATTCATTACAATAATTGTGATCAAAATAATGGATGAATTAATTGAATGAATGGATGATTACTATTGTGTCGAAGAGTTGTCGGATAGAGAGGCCGTCGACAGCAGGTTTGTGTCACAACACATCCATTGAGTGATCATTTCATAACAGATTGTTTTCATTTGATTGGTCAGCAGTGATGACGAAGATTTCAGGTCACTCTTCACTTTCGACGACTCGGAGGAAGACTTTGAGACAGAAATGGAGAGAGAAAGACAGCAACGAGTGAATCGACACAACACTGGCATCGCTTCCAACACATCCAATGCTGTGACCGATGGAAGTGTTGCCAATCAGACGGACGTAAATGAGACCAAAAACGATGAACTCTTATACGATCCGCAATCCGATGAAAAGGACCAGAAATGGGTGGACAGGGAGTCGGCGACCACTGGTGTGGC